TCTCACGTAGAAGATCAGCTAAGCGTTGCATAGTTGGGTTTTCCATATGAAAAACAAAAACTATCTAGATGTTCGCGCTTTATCAGTTGCCACGTTGTTGCCATGGCAGAGGTTGCTTCGGGTAGCCAAGTTTTATGAATGGATGTTATCGGTGGCTGTCTAAAGCGAAAGCGTTTCCATGAATGTACCGACCACCAAAACCCCCCAACCCACCCACCAACAAAAAACAGAAAAAAAAATCGTGCTGGGAAAAAAATAAAACAAATTGATATACCGCTGTTGATTTTCTTTCATTTCATTTTGCCGTGTGTGCGTGACATTTGGAGAATCACGTTCAACCACAACCGACGGCAGCGATATCCCGATATATCGATGGCTGGGTAGTTATGGGTGCCGTGTCTATATATCTATATGTCTATATGGATATGGATATGGCCACGCACACTCTGGCACAAAACGCATCTGTATTTATAACGATCTAACTAAATGGCTGGCACATGGTTATTCCTACGGGGTGTTAAGGCTGTTGCTTTTTTTTTATTTAAGGTTTTGCTTTAATTTTATCGATTTGCGGTAGATAAAGTTGGGCGAATTTATAATACTTTTAAAAACAGTTTAAGATGAAATAGTTTATTCTTTAAAAAATGTTAAGACAAAACTATTTTTTGGTTTAAAACTGTTTTTAGTGTAGCAGAAAGATGTTTAAAGCATTTTGATCTTAATTTTATTGTTGTTACTAAGTTTAATATTGGTTTAATGAATTGGTAACCGGCCAAAAGGCCGTAAAATGCATTTCTGCGGCCTTAAATTCATTGTTAAGCTAACTTGATTATTGCCTAACTTAACTAGCAATCGCCCCTGAAACTTATAGTAAAATCATATTAATAATTTAATTACCAATTACACCAGTTATTATTTTGAACTCAGCTTTATATTTATGACTCTCGACGTACGTGTATAAATTTTTTATAATATGCACAGGCATTTTTTGCAACTTTTACTTTGTGTTAAATGTAATTGAAATGAGCGACAGCGTCGGCAAAATAAATAACGTCAAGCAATTTTATACCATTGTGCGGCCGTAATTTCTTTTCAATTAACAATAACGAAACAGAGCGAAATTGGTAAAAGCAAAAGTTGACTAAAAGGGGGTAGAGCTGGGTTGGGAGGTATAAACTGGGCTGCTGTAAGAGCTGCAAATTGCTGGAGTCTTTAATACAACAATAACAAAATGCATTCACAAATTGTGTTTAATTTCTCTCACAAAGTAGAATTTCCTCCTTCGCAAAAGAGAGGAGAAGGAGGTAGTAGAAATTTTCTGGCTGCGGCAGACTGAAGGGGGAAATGGCAATAACAATCCACCTTTCATTTAAGCCCTCGGAACTGGGACACTTTGCAGAGCTTAACTTTGTTTTTCAGCGCTTGTTTGTTTGTTTGTTATTATTTGTTTTTCTCTTCTTACTTTTTTTTACTTTTTTTTATTTGTTACTGTTGGTCAACATTTTCGTTCTTGATGCTGCTCTTTTTGTTATCGCCCATCATCAGAGTTTTGCCGTCTTTCCATTTAGTTCTTTTCATTGCCTCGCACAATTTCCGCACTGACATTTTACAATTGCTGGTCGTGGCACAGACACTTGCCGACAAAATAATAGCAATCAAGATGTTATCCGCACTTTTCATGCAATTATCTGTGAGAATTACAACTTTAAGTGGATTTTTCGCTGAATGTTTTCATATCTGAATGATTATGCAAAATGCTTGTTATGGCTTTGTGTTGGAAAGTTCGTTTTTTGGTTTGCTTAAACTTTTGTTAAGGGTTTTTAGTTTTTGAAAGTTTTGGTAGAAAAATGAAAAGAAACATTTCCGTGTTTAACATTTTAATTGCTCTCACAATGTAATCTTAATAAATATTTAAACAATGATTAAAAAAGATACAATTTAAGATACTAATCTATGAGGTAAACTGCTTCTTCTCCTAAGCTTTGTATTTAGATAATCATTTTCATTTAACTACTATCAAAGCAGCTATTATTGTGCCCTTAACTGTATGAACAATGTGTGGTTTCCATTTACTGATCTCTGTCATTGCCCCGACGTCATCCATCGCACATAGATACTAACACACACTCGCACACCCACAGTGCCACGTGCATAAACATTTCTCAGCTGCCTTTTCTCTCTGTTGACACAAATCATTCGCTGGAAGTGTCGCTCCCGTTTCCATTGGCCCCTCCTTCCTGTCCGGTGCCAGCTCCATCACCCAACCACCATATCCCCTTCCTGATAGTGCCGCCCCGCCTCGCTCCAAAAGCGAACCAACCATTCTTTCTTGACAACTTTTGTGTGTTTGGTCTTGGTGTCCAAATGTATGGGCGGCCCGAGCTGGAACCGCTTTCGTATTTCGTATCGGTTACACTTGGATTGGATGTGAAAAGCTTCTGACGATAGCGAAAATGTTTGCACAGTTAAGAGTTCTGAGCGTGGTAACTGAAATTCTTACCCACTTTTTTGTAGGCACTCTTGCAAGGGTAAGGGGAATGTGTGATCTTCTTTTAAAATTGGTTTTTGTTTGCCCAGCAGTTGATGGGCCTTTAAAGCAACATTTTCTCTGATCCATTGAGAGAGAATTAAAGATCCCAAACTTTGTAAAAATATTTCTTTAAAATATTTCATTTAAAACGAATTATTTCTGCAAGTATCCTTTTTGGCAGAACTCGTTCAGCTGCTTGGCAAGTTCCTGTCTCGAGTCAAATCAACATTCCGTACTCGAGCATTCCTAACCCAGAAAAAAGCAAGCCAGAGATTGCACAAAAAACAGCAAGGAAAAACAGCAACAAGAAGAAAAAGAAAAACGAATGAACAACTTTATGAACATTTTTGCACTTGTCTATTTGGTCCACTCCCAAACAAAGAAAATATGTAATTCAAAACATTGTTCAAGTGTTCCAGTTTTTAGTGTTCGTGTGTGTGTGTGGCGTGGTGTGTGTGTGTCTCTGTGAAGTTGTTTATGAAACTTTTCCACCACATAGGAAGAATGAAGGAAAATGCACATGAGAAGACGGAGAAGGAACTTGACCATGTCGCTGGCCGGTTGCCGTTGTTTGCCAAGCCGTTACTTGCCTGCCTTGACACTGGAAGAAGATTGTTAGGAAAGCTTTTATAAGGAATATATTCTAATATTAGATAGAGTATAGAAAGAGTTAGTCTTTTGTTTAAGAAAACTTAGTTTCTTAACTTAACCTTGATTGTTACAGTTTTTAGTTTAAAAGCTTCTCTGATTTTAAGGTTTATTCTTAAACTGCAAGAGATTTTCTTATTATTATTATTAAGCTGGCTTATTTTCCCCCAGTGCTGAACCCATATCTTTTGCCTCTCCTTGTCATTATCATTGGGTGCATGATGAGCTCCCCTCTCCGGCTGCTCCTTTTCCATTTCCATCGTAGACTCCTCAACTAGACTCAACTCGACTAAACTCGACTCTGCTCGCCTAATGGATGTCTCTTTGTTTGGCTGGGCTCTGTCGTATCTAGTTTTTTGAAGTCTCATCTATACGAACGCCACTCCAACTCCATAGCCATCTCCATCCTCTACCCCACTCCACTCCATTCCACTCTACTTGGAGGACTCCTTTTTCCGTTTCGCCCCGTTTCCGCCAACCAAGCCATCGAGTGAAATTGCGCAAGCAAACAAACACATCCATTTTGCTCCTCTTGTTGTTGGCGGCTTGTTGTTTGGACTCATCCAACTAGCCGCACTATCGGCCATTGGCATTCATCCTCCACCCGGACGAGTAGCACCGTCTGGCAGACGTATCTATGTGCCAGGTTCTATCCCTTCTGCACTTCGGCTTCTTCTCCTTCTCCTTTTTCCTTTTCCGGTTGTGGAATAAATTTAAAAAAAGAATAATCTTCCTTATTTTTTTTTATATTTTGCAAGCCATTTACTGAACCATGTCAAAGCGAAAAGCCAAAATGCTGTCGGTGGTGGCGTTGAAATCTAAACATTATGCAAATGCTCTTTGATATTATTTTGGAGGAGTTTGGACAGTGTAAACAATGTGGGCGGGATTGATCAATTCTGTGGCAATGCCTGAATGGATTTGTCCAAAACGAATTGGTTCAAATTTGTTTCAGTTTCTTTGGCATGTTTGGCTTGTACCAGCATGTATTTGGGAAAAATGTAAATTGGAATGAAATTTAAATCGAAAAAATGTTTTGCTTACAGATTTTAATCTGTACTACTACTACTATTACTTCTTATTTATACTATTCACTATGTTTCTCCATGAAATGTTATCCTTAAATTGAAGATTTTATTAAAATTTCTTATTGAAATAAACCAACTTTGGAGTAAAACCTTCTTAGCCAACTTAAAAGCAAGTTAAGATTGGAAATCCAATAACTCCTTCCCTTAACAATACCATCTCTTTTCCATTTCCCTATCGCCTTGATCCTTCACCCAAGAGCTCCTCCATTTACCCAAAAACTATGCCAACAATTTGATCTCAGTTCGGAACCCGTTCCTTTAGCCATGGCCAAAAGCAAGCTTGCACGATTGCCAAATAAAGGAGGAAAACATATGCAAAAAGAGAGAACGAAACTAAACAGTAAAAGCAAATCGAAAATTGTGTCATAACATTAAAAACAAGTTGGCCTAAAACCTGAACCTATCCCACCAATGCCGATCATCGCAATGATCACCATGACGACCACGACCACGATGATGACCATGGTAATGGGGATGTCTGTTATGGGGGACCTGTTTTTATTTTTTTTTTTTTGGTGTCCAGTCCCGAACTGAAAAGGCAATGGCTATGCCAGTCTGTCTTTCAGACTGTTAGCTGGATGTTGAATTATGGAGGAGCCTGTTTTGCGGGCAAAGTGGGTCGGCCGTCTTGGTCTTGGTCTTGGAATGTGATTTGTGGCACGAACAATGTGTGAAAATGGTACGACAACAAGTTGACTTATGTCCCCTCCCTATTCTTCTTCCTCTCTTTGCAGCGAATGTGTTTCAATGATGTTACTGCCTTCGGGGCGTTCGAATAGTGATGTCTATCCGCTACAAAATGCCGCCAACACAACAGCAACATCAGCAGGAGGACCAGCAACTGGCAGCGGAGGAGTTGGAGTTGGAGGTGGAGTTGGAGGCGGAGGCGGAGGCGGTGGAGCTACATCCAAGCCCAAGCCCTTGCTACTGACACGAACATCATCGCCTCAATTGACAACGTTGCCGACAACAAATGGCTCCGTTGTCCATGCCACGCCCACCCGCTCCAACGGATGTCCGCTGCCCCAATCCTCCGGAATCCCAACGACAACATTGGCAACAACAGCCACGTCCATAGCAACAGCAACATCAGGCACATCTGCCGGAATGGAGGCGACAGCAACGACAACGGACCATGGAATTGGTATTGGAAATGGCACTAACTGCGGCAGTACTGGTATCTATGGGCCACTTCTGGGTCAAAGTCATGGTGGTGTCATCGCTGGCATGTCCGAAAATTGGCCAGAAATTGATGGACACTTGGAGGCCATACAGGAAAAGCTTAAGCCTGGCTGGAGTGTTCATGTGGGCAAAGAGGGCAGACTATACTATTGCAAGTGAGTATTAATAAAATCTTTATGTTTATGGAATATAGAAATCTTTTCTTTAATTAAATGATAAGAAAAGAGAATAAGAAATGATACGAGATAGGAGAGAGAAGAACTATAATGAAAATCAGCTTCAAGCTCTACTTGTTTCTTTAACTAAAAAGTTTCTTAGCTAAGGCAGCGCAAAATAGATTTATTGCCATTGCCAATTAGGAAACCTTTTAGAACTTTCAAGATTGTTAAAATGATTTATGATTCTTGCCAGATTATGATTCTTGGCTGTATGTAAGGTTTAAAAAGCTTAGCTACTTTACATTCAAAAAGCTAGCTCAAAAATCCTTAATGATTTAAAAACTCTAGTTTTAATACCTTTAATCATCCTTTAACAGCTCATCCTAAAAATAACTATTCTAGACATTGCCACATTTATTATTTGTGGGAAACTTTCGTTGGTGGTTTTTCAAAAACCACTTTAATAACCCCGCTCTGGCCACGCACAAAAAGGAATATTTAACAAAGCAGAAACTCGGACATTTATTTAGCCATTAGCACCGGGCAAAGTTTTAGCATTTCTATGCTTGGTCCACTGACGTAAAGGCAGAATGTCAGAGACTGTCAGTGTGACTGCCAGACTGACGGACAGACTTTTGGTCCTGGTTAGTTGGTTAGATGCCTTGGTTGTGGCTGAGAACGCTGAATGGGCGACTGAATGCTGGGCTGCCTTTCTCTGCTGCACATAAATTGATTATGCACAAAATTCTATTAAATAATTTTACACTTTGTTGCACATCAAACTGAAAGCGCACAAAATGCCATAACCGTCGAGTGAAGCGGGGGACGACGGGTGATGGGACTGGGTGACTGCCACTAGGGCGATAGACTGAATGAGTGAACAGAGCCATTTGGGTTCCATACCCATACCCCTAGCCATCCCTATACCCATTCCTACGACCATCCTCTGCTCGTCGAGAGTGTGCAAAAGTGCAAAACTAATTATCACAATTGTGTGCAGTCAGGAAATGAAGAAAGACAGCAACGGAAGCCACCAAGGTGGCTGATGTGGGCTGCAATTGGATTTAGCTGGGGTTTCGCTATGGGTCTCGCCGGGATCTAGCTTGGGTTCCACCACAGTCAAGCTTCTATAATTTCCGCGATTCTATAATTTGAAAATTATTTTTGGCTTGTTTTGGTAATGACTTCCGCTAGGAAGATATTAACTTATGTTCTTAAATCCGTTAGAAGGGTTTTATTGGAGGGAATAATAAGTTAAAAGTTCTTTTAAAGAGAAAATTCATATGTTAGGAAAAAAATATTTAAAATTAAATATTTTTAGGAAACAAGTTAGTTCTTTAACACTTAAAGACACAATTTCTAGTCGCTGCTTTTAAAGACTTTAAAAGCCTCAAACTATAAATACCAATCTTGAACTTTTTGATGTTTAACTTCATAGAAGTCCAACTGTAGTTTGTTTTCTATAGGGCTGCGGACTGGGGCTGGGTTTTAGTTTTAGTTCTGCGGCCCGATTATGGGTTGCTGTTTATTGCAAAGTCGAGCAAATAACCCAATTAGCTCTGATTAATGTCAATTGAAATGCATTTCTAGCTCACCCGCAGGGACAAACAGATATTTACTGGCGTACTTAGAATGGTTACAAATGGGTTTTCTGCTAGAGGATGTGGGAGGTGGCTGGGTGGCCAAGTGTTGACCGCAAGTTCAGGGTCAATGTGGGTGGTGCGGGTCAAGAGCAAAACTTTGGCATGATTTATAAATAGAAATATGGTTTAAATATTTGCAAAAGGCTAATTATAGAGTATAACCACAAATTTCTTGGTAACTAAACTAAGTGAGTGGCCTACAGGCAAGCAGAGTTTGGAATGTTAAATTTTTATGGAAAAATTAAATATTTCTTAATCTTTGCTATATCATTTTTTAAGCCAATGAACGTTCTTTTTATTATGTCTCATTGATGATTGTTAGTTCGATTTCTATCTATGGACTTTGCGGTTAGTACTGAGTATAGATACAATATACTTCTTACCTGTATTGGATTACAAATTGCAGTTGACAGCTGACTGAGCAAAAGTAACAGTCAATCGTATAAACACAATTCCATTGACATTCCTTAACCATTCAAAAGTCAATATTTGGTCAACGGTTTTTTTTATATTTATTATGTAATTACAAATGCAAGTCTCGTAGGAATAACTTAAGATAACAATCGTTGTTTATTATGAATGAAAGCAATTTGCCTAGGGTATTGATTTCTTTCTTTGAAATATTTTAAATGGCTTTCCTATGAGTGAGTTTTAAATATTTGATTTTTCTTTCTTTCAGTCACATGACGCAATCTGCGGGCTGGCTGCCAGCTTGCGAGGATTGGAGCAAACACGAAGAGCTCTCATATGGCTGGGAGCGTGCCATAGACTCCAAGGGTCGTTCCTACTATATCAAGTGAGTTACCCATAATATTAGCTAGTACTAACTGCTACTTAACTCCTTTTCTACCCTCACTTAGCCACCTTAACAAGACGACCACCTATGAGGCCCCTGAATGCATACGCTGGGATGAACATCCCCCAGAACCAAGACAGGTTCAACTTCAGAGAAATGCCAGCCTGGGTTTCGGTTTTGTGGCTGGAAGTGAACGTCCTGTAATCGTTAGATTTGTGACAGAGGGCGGTCCAAGTATTGGAAAACTGCAGCCTGGTGATCAGATCCTGGCAGTGAACGGAGAGGATGTGAAGGATGCACCACGGGATCATGTCATTCAGCTGGTGCGAGCTTGTGAGTCGCAGGTTAATCTATTCGTTTGCCAACCCATGGCGCACTGCGTCCTTCCGGGCAGGAAGTCCACCCTTCTTTCCGCTGGAAAGAGAGCCAAGCTGAGATCGCGTCCTAGTCGAGTCCGATTTGCAGAGAGTGTCTGCGTTAATGGAGCCCCACTGTTTCCGGTGAGTTATAAGCAAAGACTTTTCCATTAGGAACAAGACTGCAAGCAGATTCTGAAGTGGCAATAAACTTAACTATTTTAATTTGTTACTTTTCATTTTAGCCCTCGGCCTTCTCCTTGGGAGACATCTGCGTACCCCCGATGGCCAATGTGCTGAAGGTGTTCCTAGAGAATGGACAGACCAAGTCCTTCAAGTACGACGCCACAACCACAGTACAGGATGTGGTTAGCTCGCTGCTGGACAAGCTCTGTCTGTGCTGTGGAGAGCTCTTCAGTCTGGTGCTGGAGCACGTGAAGAGTCTCAAACGGAACAAGCTCACCCTGCTGGATCCCCAGGAATCACTGGCCAGGGTGGGTGATAACTCAATATACACACTTTTTGAAAGCAAAATGTAATTTATTTTTGAATTTCCGCCTGGTTTCTCCCGTAGATTGCTGCTCGTCCGGGGGCGCACAAATTGAGGTGTCTCTTCCGCATCACCTTTGTGCCCATTTCGGCCGCGGAGCTGGCACAGCGGGATCTTCACGCCCTGGACTACCTGTACTTGCAGTGCTGCAATGATGTTAACCAGGAGAGATTCGCGCCTGAGCTGCAGCCGGAGTTGGCCCTGCGATTGGCCGCCCTCCATATGCATCAACATGCTTTGGCCAATAACTTTGCGCCTGCCAAGCTCACCGTCAAACTAGTCGAGTAGGTTCATCATAAATCCTTAAGGATGTTCTCTCTTTTCTATATGCAAATTCCGACTCCTTTCAGACGCGAGTTTGGACTGGAACGCTTTGTCCCAGTGAGTCTGTTCGAGGGCATGAAGCGGAAGGAACTGCGACGGCTGATTTCACACTTCCTGAAGCTCAACGCGGAGATGACGGGATCCTCCAGCAAGGTTCTTACACAGCTGCAGGTGAGCGAAAGGCAATTCAATGTGGTTTAAGTGGGTGGAAAGTAGAAAGAAGTCTGAAAAGCGCAACTTCCTCTACTTAAAAGTCTTTAAAAACTTTTTTACTTAAAAGATAAAATCTTTAAAAATTATTCTTATTTACAGGCCAAACTCCATTATCTAGATATAATCGCTAGCTTACCAAGCTATGGAGCCAAATGTTTTAGCACAAACCAAAGAGAGGGCGTCGAGCGCGTCCTCCTGGTTAGTCCACGCTTTGGACTCAGCCAGATATCCAGTGCACGCAATTCGGTGGTGAGTCTATCTGGAATCTCTTGGATTTGAGAATCTTCTATAACTTCTTTTGTGCTTCCAAGCAGCCCCAACCTATTTCCGCCATCGAGGACTTCACCCATGTGGTGGTGAATCGCGAGGATGATGTAACCTGCAGTGTATCCATATTCATGCTCGGGGATCGAGCTGTTAAGTTTATCATGGAAGATCGAGATGGCTGCGAATTCAGTCTGGTCCTTGGTGGCTACTATCGACTGCTGACAGGTGAGGAATTCATAGATTTCCTTTTGGTTAACTGAAATCATTACGATGTTTACTCTTCGTTCCCAGGCAACGTGTTAAATATTCTGCGAGAACGAGAACCGAATGACGAGGACAACTCGCCGGGCTTTTTGTCCCAGCACACAGTGCTCCCTGCGGGATGGAGCTACCTGCTTCCCTTCCACACTCGAGCGCACAGCGTCAACTTCCTGATGGCACCGCCCTATCATCCGCTGGTCCAAAGGGGTCAGCTCCAGCAGCAGACCTCCGTGCAGGCACCACCCTCGCTGCCCTATGCCATGGATTTGGATTTGCACAGTGTGATGGCCACCGAACTGCTTGAAGAAGCGGCCAAGGATTCAGGACTGAGTGACAGTAGTGGAAGCAATTACTGCGAAGGACGCAGTCACTCGGGCAGTCATCAATTGGAGGCTAAGAACGAGCAGGTTTTGAGAAGGGTTCAGGAACTACAACACCTGGTTCAGACCTCGGAACAATATCTGAGTGAACAGGAGCAGGGTGGCGGCGGAGGAGGAGTGGCCATGCTGGAATTCGACTCTGATTGCGATAGTCTTAACAGCAGTAAGGTTTCCTCAACGGAAGAGTCGCAGGGTGGAGTGATTCTGGGACCGGGAAGCGCTATTCCACCTGGACATCCCCTGAAACATAGTGATTCCCTAACGCTACTGGCGGAGACGATTAACCACGAGTTGAGTGGCATAACCCAAGGATTGAACGCCATTCCGGAAACTGCTCCAGTCTCGACATCTGCCCCTGCAACACCAGCCACACCCAAGCGGAAACCCAGTCTCTGCACTACATCCAGTCCGAGACCGCAGAGGAAACTCAATGGCTTCAGTCAGCTGCTGAGTGACTTGCAGGCCCTGGGCACAGATTTCTCTCAGAGCGAGAGTGATTCAGAGTCCGTGGCATCACCTGCTCAATCACCGACAGCTAGGAGACCGCAGATGATGTTGCTCCAGGCAGCAGGCCAAGCAGGATCAGGAGCAGCAGTCAAACAGCAGCTCTCGCAAAGGAGCAGCTTTGGCCTGCACAGTCCAGATGGCACACATTTTGGGGCCGAGACGAAGGACTACAACCTGCGAGAGTATCTCCAGCAGCTGAAGGAGATTAGCAATGCAGCAGCAGCGGATACGGATGTGGCTGCCCGTCAGCTATCCGAGATTTATGGTTTCGAAGTGAGGGAAGATACCTTCATTGAGACCGATTCAGATCTTATAGATCTACGTGCCATTCCGCCACCTCAAACCCCCGACGAGCTGGACTCTCTGTCTCTGATGAATGCAGCTCCACCGAAAGGTTTCGAGGGCAAGGCTGAGGAGCTGGACAGTTTTCTGCAGCAAATAATGGTGGCCCCACCCACCCAGAAAGCCACACCCGCCAAGGAACTAACACCCGAAGAGATTATGTCCTTTATAATACCACCACCTCCGAATTTGGAGCAACAGCAGGTGGTCCAGCCGGTGGAAACGGAGTGTCTGTATAGCAATTCAGTTCAGGCCAAGAGGGAGTTCTTCCAATCGGTTGCCAATGGCAACAATGGAACTAGCAGTCCTTCACCCCATGTAATTGAATATGCCACTGTGGAGCGGAAGAGCAAGTTCAGCTGTTGTCCCACCAGCAAAAAGGAAGAGCTACCAGATCAAGAGGAACTCCAACCACCACCCAGGACACCCACTTCCGAGCAGCTTTCACCACCGCCGGCAAGACCACCGAAAAGTGCGGAACTACTGCAGCGTTACTCACCGAAAAAACAGGTAAGGATTGCCGCCAGCCCAGTGATGCAGCCGCAGGAGCGAAGGGAACTCTGCCCACCACAACTGCCACCGAGGGGAAGTCCCACGCTGGATGGAAACCAATGTAGCAGTCCCACTGGAAACCTGGTGAGTGGCCCCAAGAAACCCCCGTTGCCACCCATCGCCAGTCGACCGCGTCCTTCGAACGGGGTTAATTCTCCAGTCACTTCATCACCTGGATCTGCACCACCTGCCCACTATTCACCACCCATACCGGCCACCGTTCGTTTGCCCCATTTGAACCAAACCAATGGAACACTCCCCATGCTCCCCAAGAAACCACAACAGCTGCATGGCGAGAAGTTGTTCATTAAAAATGGTCACTTGATTGATGGCGAGGCGCTGTTGGCCAAAACGGATGTGGCCATGGCTGGTCTGCTGATCAAGTTGGACCAAGTGGCCGCCCAGTGTTCAGTGGCTCAGGCAGCTGGCGGAGGGACCTCCATCGACGAAGAGAAGTTCCAGCGTGCCAGAAACGAACTAACCGAACAGACTTTGGCCCTGGTTACGGCCAGTAAATTCCTGGTGGCTTCCATGTCCGACATGACATTGATTACGTTGCCCGAACACCTAACTTCCTGTCTGACGGCCATTCGAAGGATTACCGAGTTGGCTCAGGATATGACCAGACACACTTCGGCTCCCCTGCAGACGCGGAATATAGTGCTCAAAGTTCATGATGTGGCAAGTAGTTTCAGGGAGCTAGTAGGTGTGGAAATCGGACCTATTGGGGCTGGGAAATTGGCCCTGCAAGCTGAGTGTCTAGCCAATGTCCTGGCCACTCTGTTGAGATCCCTGCGCGTCTTCTCCCCATAACCCAGAGAGATCGAGGGCAGCGGAAATGGAGAAGCAACCGAATCCGCCGACAGAAACGAAAGTGAAAACCAAAATGGAAGCCCATCCAATCCTGACATATCGCACGCTCGTCTGTCTATGTGTAAAACCCCTTACACCACCTACGTCTAGATGTGCATCGAACCCTAAGCATGTGCACCCACGTTTATATATATATATATCCGATAATACATCGTCTCTCGAAACTAATTTACAGGTAAAGGGCCGCGTCAGAGAGTCGAATGTCTGATGGCTCTTTAGGCTTAGCCACGCTTAATCCTCACCTGCCACTAATATCGAAACTGGAAAGTGGAAGCTCAAAATAGGGGTTTGTAGATGATGTGATGGAGTGTGTTCTTGGATGTTGGGGATATAGTTTGCCTATATACATATCGCATATTGTATGTGAAAATAGAATTTAATAGCAGACAAGGTTTTCAAGGAGTACGAACCTAACAATCAGTTACATATCTCAAAGTTATTGTTTTAAAGTTAGAAAAAGCGAGTTTTCAAAGAAGTGATTTTTCTGATTTTTTGTACAATTTATATGTTCTTAGCACCATTATCTTTGAAACAAAGCAGTAAAGGAGAGGTTGTCTTGGGAAATTGGTCAGTCAGTCAGTTTAGCTCAATATTATCCTAAAACCATATCGATAAATATCCCCCCTTTTCCTAGACACACACCACCACATCACTTCGAACTTCATAAATAAATATTTCTTAAATATAAAAACGATTAATTATTCTAAAACAAGAAAAATGAAAAACTCTCTCAACTTAACGCATGCAACTAACTCGAATTTCTATGTAATCTCCTAAAAAACAACTATTTTTAACTCTATTTATACATCGTATGTCATTCTCGAAACGTTAGTACTGCTCTGTATACCAAAATCCCCTTAAAACTCGAAGCCGAACCAATCCCAAAAATCCTAAAAAAATATAAAAAACCAATTTAATGAAACACCATGACTTGATTATCTAGACCAATTTATATGAGAAACTAACAGAAACGTAAACGGAAATATGTTTATTAAATTATGCTATTAGTATATTTTCTTATGTACATAATTTACACACATACCTAATACCATATATATACAAGTACTATATAAATATTATAATAAAATTGACCAAACAATAATCAAAATTTTAACTTGTGATATAAAAAAATGGAAAAAGTAAAAGCAAAAAAAAGAAAAAAAACAAACAACAAATAAAAACTTTTACATTTTCTTTGTTTAACAACAAATTATTTTATATGTTCGTTGTTGTTAAAAAGAAAAAAAAAATACGATCAACTTTTTTGTTATTGTTTATGTGTCATACCTTTTGTTGTAGTTGTTGGCGAAGTACAAGAATGCGCACTAAGTTGTAGCTTTAACTAATTATTATATTATTATAAACAATACGGTTAAACATTAATCAAAGCAAGCAGAAACTCAAGAATAATCCGTTTAAAAATATATAACTAATCGGTAATCAATTGTTTTTATTTTATTTAAAAAGATTTTCTGTTGGAACAAGTACACACTCACAGATATGCATAATAAACATAACCATATGATATACACTTACAAGAATTATACAAATATGAACTAAAATAATAATACATATTAAGTAAGACATAATCAAATGTACAATGTAAAACAATGTAACTGTTTATGATTTAATGAAAACAAATACAAAATGCATATGAAATTGTATGGAATAAATTCAATAAATAAACCAAAGTAAAATAAAGATATTCATGATTAGCGTATGTGTTGTTATTAAATAATATTTAAATTTAACAGATTTTTTTAAATTCCTAAAGTGTGGTAGGTGTCTTTGCTATTCAAAAAGAATTTATTGCTTAGCAACATGTTGCTAAGGCACTCTCACAGCTCTGTTACAAAAAGGTGGATGTACCTGCTAGCTGTGTGTGTGACCATTTGCAACATTTTCTTTGTTACCTTAACACTTCTTAACAGTTCTGTTAAATGGTGGATGTATTTGCTAAATGTGTATGGCAAACTGCAAACGCCAAGTGAGACCACATTAAAGCCCATCTATATTACCATAAAAGAGCTAGAAATCCCAAACGCGAAAAGTAGAGCAAAAAAATTACTGCGCACACTGAAAGAAACGGCATTTTATTTTCCAATCGCGGGCGGGACGGTTCAAAACACGGGACGGTTCAAAACAGCGCGCCTCTTCGCGAGCGACTTCATAGAATCAGCAGATCTACTTTCCTGGCTGTCGGACGAGTTGTCGAAAAACTCGGGAAGGGATTTGAGTTTGTGAATCGCCACGGATCGAAAAAGTGCACCGTTTAATGCTCTAGTAACCGCCATAGAGAGCAAGAATCAATCTAACGACACGGAAATAAATTCGAAACGCAGTTAAAGTAAGAAATTCGACGTCTTCCTGAGGCCCGAAACACCCACAAAAAAAGCAAAAAAAAAAAAACGAAAAGGCGAATGAAAAGTGCGCAAAAAAATATATGTAATACGATTGCCAGGAAGACACGGAAGCAATAAAAAGTACGGCGAAAACGCAATCGTTACATATTATATATATTCGCTCGGTTGGAAAGTTCTTCTTTTGTGCAGAAAATCGACCACACATCAAAATAAATTACTAGAAAAAAAAAGTAGAAAAACAACAACAAAAGCATCCTCAAGAATCTCGACGCTCTCCCACTCGTTCGTACTCTCTCTCTCTTTCTCTTTCTCTTGACGAAGGCGGAGAAAGAAGCAAAGCGAAACAACAAATAATCTCTTTTCGCCGCCAAACAATAAGGAAAATAATTAATTTTCAGCCAGCGAGCTTCTGCGGCATTTATGCCAACTAATTAAAATCACAAAAAATGGATTACAAATTCATTGTTTTCAACGCAGCGAGGGATAACAATTTGGCGCAATTGAAGGTGAGTTTTGAGAGAATTTCTGACATTTGGGGGAATTGGGAATGGAGGATTTCACCTGCAGTTGGTTGGCCAATTGGAAAGTTGCGAGATTCTTATTGTGATTGTTGTTAGAAATCTCAGCTGCTCAATAAACTCGGCAGTTTATTTAGCCTTGTGACTAATCAATAAAATTCTCTCGCTCACACGCACACACTCTTGCTATAAGCACTCACACACACACTAGCGCTCTCTGCTAAGCCGTACACGCGCATGTGTTCCAACGGTGTTGCTGGGCCTCATTATATTTGCTTGGCTAGAAAAAAGCTAAATTATCTGTTGAAGTTTTGAATGTCAGTTTGTTTGATTTTCAAAGATAGCGTGGATTAGAACTCTCCTACCATTTTAAGTTAGATTTTGTTTAAAAAACTAACCAACAGGTGTGCTTTTCGTTAACTACGTTCTTATCGTAATTATCTTAAAAGATCTTTCTCGAAAGGCCATCTAAAGATGAATAGAATTCGATTTGTGTTTATTGATTTCTGTCTTAAGAATGCAGTTTTTTATATATCTTTGAATATTAAAATTTATGGTTTATGTTTATGAAGATTATAACAAGATCATTAAAAAATATTTATTTCAAATATGTTTTTAATTGGTCTGTTACATAATATTAGCAAGTAGTAGCTGAAAACTAGCCGAATGTCTTGTCTTGACGCAAGACAATAACAAATACATATGTTTGGCTGGGCGTGTTTGTGGGCGTATCGGATCAGAAACTTTTGCTTGCGACTGCAAGACTCGCGGGGCACACTCTTTGCATAACCAAAGTTCTTGGGTTCCTCGGGCTTAAGCTTTTGGCCTGGCATCTATTCCATCTAAAGAGGCAGCTTGACATTGGCACACACCATGCCAATGGAACGGAGGCAGAAATTAAATGGAAACAACACAAACAGCAGCAGTGCAACAGCAACCCAGCAACAGCAACAAAAAAAAAACTGACTGCAATTGGCGCTGTTGCATTGAAGCCTCGCTTGGCCCCTAGTTTTGCATTGTTTTATAATACGGCACAGCTAGTCGTGGGTGTTTATTATTTAGTACGACTGTGCTAGTCCCCATTAGTGTGTGTTTGATTCTAAGTTTAGCACAGTCATAATTTCGTTTGTACTTGGGCCAGGCATTTCAGAAAATTATACATACGTGACATGGAAATTGGTGCAGTTGAGGGAAATGTAAATCAACTTTGAAAAATAAAACTATTTTCTGCACAATTGCCATAAAGTGCATTTTATGTCAAAGCAATTAGACAAACTTCTTATTGACATGACAATGAGAATTATTGAAGGTCGTAAATATGAAATCGAATTATTCTGTTGATATAATTGGATTTTGGAGTGGGGAAACTCTGTAAAATCATAAATTTTTTGGAAAAGTTGTTAGTTTTTCGCTCAGATCAGATGCCCATAACAAAGCCAAAAGTGGTCCAAATTTGGAATTTTATATCTCGTTGAGCTCGTAATTTAATCTATTTTATATTTTTATCAATTTGCATCCCGAAATGCAAAATTTAATTTTTGGCCATTTTTGCAAAAAAAGACGATGGTACCCCTTATAAAAAATGCAAAAATTGGCCGGAAAATTAAACTTTCAAAATCAATCAGGGGGTCATAGATTTAGTTAGTTCTGGTCGTTAGCTGCACAAAACAGTTCTCCTTTTAGCTGTGCGTCTTGTTTTGACCATTTTATAGGATGAAAACCTGTGAAAAGTAAGACAAATATTGCTTAAAAACGTTCCTCTGAATTACATTAAAAGAGTCATTATTTTGTGAATAAAAATTTAAAAATAGTCGCCATATGGAATGCTTTACCTCGTTGAGCTTTAATTTTCATAACAACTTGTTAAATTATCTTGCTTGAATTAATTTACAAAATAGTTCGAAGTTTACTGATATCATATCAAAAGCGCAAACATTACTTATTGAATTATACAATTTTAAGATTACAGTTTAAAGGGTACCTCCTTATCAATAAATAATTTAATTATTGTGAAAAACAACAATATTAAAAGGTTCTATAGATCACATATAGAATATTTTCTATGATAACTACAAAATAAATCTAGTCTTTGCTTGCTTTTTTCTTTGTTTTTTCCCTATTTTCCCCCCACGCTTGATTCATTTCCTTTGGCGTTCTTATCTTATCGGCTCAGACACTCGCTGTTTGTTATTATTTGTGTTGTTTTTGTGGCTCTTACCACGATGACTGCTCCAAATGCGTAGCAAGTATTTTTAACCATACCGTTGGGTGTTGTTTTTGCATTTGGGCCACGTTGCTGCCGTTGAACACGTTAATAACGACAGCGAAAATTTAACAGCTGAAATCACGTCGTCGTCAGCGGCGTTTTACTTCCGCGATTGTCACTTGACGGAGCAGTTCGCCCCGTCTCTTTCGCCACCCGTTATACCCCTCTCTTTCATTTTTCTTTTTTTTTTGTATACTGATTCTGCGCCCAGCAACGCCTACAAAACGAACGCACTTTGCTTATTGAAATTATTATTATGCTGATCGGAGAGAACAAAGAGCCATTCCTCTGGCTTTGTTTTTTTTTTTGTATTCGCTCCGCGCTTTTCGGCTTCCTTCTGCTGTGGCGGCGGCTGCTACTGCTGCTGCTGCTGTTGACAATTATCCTTGAGAGCGTTCAATCACACCAATTTGGAAGGCTCGACCCTGTACACGGAGAGAAATTAACCCCTAAGTCATTAAGATTTTCCAGCATTTGGCTTTATTGAAAATTTACAATATTTTTGAGAAGTCTTAAACTAAGATAGATAGATATTATTACACATTTTTCTATTAACAGTTTCTCATTCTACTCTATTTTCTGATCCAAATATTCGAAATGTTTCTCAAATCGTCACGCTCTTTAAGTAATTTGTATAGTGACCCAGATTTAGCTTCTAATTTATGCGCTCAGTGTATCATGAGCTGGATATTCCTGTTCGTTTTCGGTTATTGTTGGATTCATCAAACTTCCTGACTGACGACCGGGGCTCGACCCTGGAAATGTGTCATTCGAGGGGTGTGAGTTTTGGGACTCCGACTAAAGGTAGAACCACTAGGTATATGCTCGGTCCCCTGTAAATGGAATAAATAAATACAATATAAATACAAAATCCACATATATGTGGAGGCACTGAAGAGTGTGCCCCGAAATAGCTTTTATGTATGGGCTGCTGCACTCAATGCTCCAAATGCGAACGAGGGAGAGGCTGTGAGGCTGCGAGGCAAAGGCAACCTGCTTGGCGGTACGACGTGCAACATGTTCTAGCCTTCGCCCCATAGAACTGGTTTTTCTTGCTCGGCGGCCGTTGTTTATGTTTGTTCCAAAAATAAGAAGAAAAACCCCCCCCTTCGCCACCCCAAACGACGACTCCCCTGGCTCAAGAGCAGAGCAAAATAAAAACACCTCACCGAAGAGTTGGTCGTCGTACACGAAGTTGAAGTGCCACTTAAAGTTGAGTACACACAACAAAATATTTCTTCGTTCTTTTTCATTTTCATCTTCCATTGCCTCTTTGTTGTTTTCCCCCTCAACTTCATTGTGTTTTCCTAGCAGCTCTACGTGATACAACAGGCCAACAGATCGAATGATTGATGAGGTTGAGGGTGGCCAAGGGGAACTAGACCAAGTTAGAAGATCGCCAGATAACTTTATGAAACTGTTAAGAAACCCCGTTGTTTAAGCAGGTATAAAGTTAAAGAAGTATGGTGAACTTGGAAGAACTTTAAATACGGAAAATGGAAATCTAGAAACTAGCAAAATGCATATATAAATACTTTCCGCTCTCATAACTGTCGTTATGAATACTATTAAATAATAATAACCCCACTTTTTATATAACCTTTCGGGACACGTGCCAGTTTTACTTCTCTATTACTTACATAAACATGTCTAAATTAATAAAAGGTAACAGTCCGGTTTAAAGGCATTCAAATGGGCTTTGTTTTCGCTTGCTGTATTCAACGAGCTTGTAAACTGTAACCTTTTGGCCAGTTTTTAATCAAGAACGGATCTAAGGTTCAATGACTAATTTCCACTGAAACGGGTCTCAATTAAATTAATTACTGCTCACCTTAGGCACACTAGGGTGCTCTTGGGTTTTGTATGTTCTGGGTTTTAAGTTAAAACATTTTAAAATAAAAAGCAACTTTGAATGTTATCCCATAAAACGTTTACTAAATTAAAAAGCCAAGTGCTCTTGTCTATCTGGTTAGGAGTGCCATAACGATTCGTTTTATTAAAATTGGTCATTATTGATTAACCTTGTAACGATAAGCAATTAACGAAAAACTGATTAATTATTCTCAGTTAAGTCTCATTAAAATGGCCCGTAGTTGTGTTGTATCTGGTTTTATTTTCTGCTTTTAATTACATGCAAAACGTAGACCGAAAAGTCCATTCGAATTTAAGAAAACTCAAAGAAACACACTTCAATCAGGCGGCGTTTCTCGAGCGTTTTGAAAACATTTGCCAAGGCACAACATTTAAGATAATTCGATGTACACATTTTGTTATTGGTTTTCCCCTGTTTGCTGCTCGTTTTCGTTTGGCTTTATGCAAAAAAGCCGAAAAAGTGAGTTTTGACTTGGCCAACAGCTGTTTCACTCTTTTTCTTTTTTTTTTTGGGGTTGAGGTTGATTCTTGTGCTTTGCAATTTACTCGTTTGCTTGGGTTTGTTGGGGTAACCTCAAAATGCGAAAATGTTGTCTGTTGTTTCTGTTTCTGTTTCTGTGTGTGTTTTTTTTTCCTTTTCATTTTCGATATTGAGCGGAGTTTTAAAGCTTTGGGCTTTGACTGGGGGACGGACCTGCTTCTTTTTATTTTGTATTTTTTCGTGTTTTTATTTTTCTACTTGCTTGCCATTTAACTGCTTCTTGATTATTAGCTTCCAATGGTGTGTGTAAGGTCAGAGCCAATCTTGCTGGTTTGCTTTGACTCCAATTCTCTATAGCTCGGCCTGTGG